CGTACAAAATATCATTTATTCTAAAATCATTTTATTTACGAACTAATAGAGAAATAAAAAGTAAAAATTACACCGTTCAAAAGTACATCAAAAATTCTACAAAACAAGATACGACAAAAATATTTTATTTTATCAAATGATCAACCAAAACGAGTAAACAAATGAAAGCTATCGAGATGTTGGAATAATAAATGTGACATTCTTTTTGGGACGAAGGGAGTATATGAACAGACGAGACGATGATCGTCTGTAAACACAGAGGATTATCGTATATGCATAAATTATCTATGATTGTCACTTGTGGAGGAATTGTGGTGGATTCCTTATTCTTAAGCATCATTCATTTTTTAGAGCGAACATATGCACAAATTGTACCCTTGAAATAAACGGTTACCTTTGTTTAAGCATATGGGTTCACAATTTGGCATACTTTAGCCAAATTACATGAATTTTAGTTATTAGCTAAATAGAACATATCTTTGCTTGGTTTGACATGTTTAAAGTTTTTCTAATTTAAATGCAAAATGTTAAGTCTTATAATTTCTGTAGAACATATGAAGTTAAAATTGGAAGAGATATATCAAACTAGACTAGACTATATATAAAACACATTTCGTCTACCAAAAAAAAGAACTTTATTGTTTTTCTAACAAAATAAGATTTTAAAACACATAATCAAGACTTTTATGTCAATCATTTAGCATTTTCAATAAAATAACATTGGTTTATAAATTATTCCCTCGGTTCTTAAAAACATTTCTTTTTTCATTTTTTTCAATTCCAACAAAACACTTCCACTTTCTATTAAAAACCACTTATACCCTTACTTTTTCATACCCTATCTATTACATCATACTTTTTCTCTAATAATCTATCTATCGCATCTTACTTTTACTCATCACATCAAGAGCAAAATTAGAAGTCAACTATAATTTAATACTTTCTTATTTTTCCACTTTTGAAAGTAGAAACTCTGAGCACCCAAAAAGTAAAAAGTAGACTACAATCACTAAAAATTGTCACCCACGTACTTTTTAGTCACCCTCGCTCTGTCGCATTTGTCACTTTGTGATCCGCTGCTAGCTTCTGTAATGCTACAGTAACTATAAATAAATGAAAAATGCTAGGGTACAAATTTGGTGTACTCCATATGTCCTCTATCCCCTCTTTATCCACTAAAAAAGGCAAAAAAAATTAAAGAAAATAAATAAATAAAAATCAAATAAAAATATGTGGTGGAAAAGGGAGTGATGTACATTTGGGATACATTTTTTGGTGTACCCCTAGCATTGCTCTAAATAAATCCTTCCTTGTCCACATCTTTCTTAGCTTCCCAGTTATTACTACATGTCAATAACTTATGTTTGTATATGTATTTTCATTGATATTTTGATAAAATAAAATATTTTTGTCATATCTTGTTTTGTAAAATTTTTAGTATAAGTCTGAAAGGTGTAATTTGTACTTTTTATTTCTATACTAATATATAAATAAAATTATTTTTTAAAAAAATATAATTTTGTACGATATTTAAAATGAGAAAAAAAATATGAGTTGAAGGAGTAATTGTCAAAAACTCAAAAACCCAATTCAACTGAAAGCCCAAAGACCAAGAGATTCAAAGGGGAGTATTTCAGCCCAAGAAGATTGTTCGGGCGCGCTGGGCCACCAGAGAAGAACGAAAGCGTAGGATGAATTTTAATTGAATCGATGTGTATATTTGTACTTCATTTTCTAACTTGATGTCATAAATAAAAATAAGTTCTAATAGTAGATTATTAGAAAAAATAGGACAAATATGTATACTAAGAGTTAATAGGGGTAGAAATGATTTTTTAATGGAAAATAATAATGATTTGGTGTTAGAGAAAAAATGAAAATAGAAGCGTTTTAAAAAAATAGGAGTATATATCAAAATAATAAGTTAAAATAACAGTGCATCAAATGATTGATAAAAATGCACGCCCAAACCAAAGTTATCGTAAGTCCATGATAGTAAGTATGACGATAATTTTGGAATAAAAAATTTTACTCCTTCCATCACGTATTAATGTTCTACATTACTATTAACATGGTCAAATTATATATTCTTTTTTTAAAACTATTTTCATATCATTTGATAAAATGAAAGTCATGTCACTAGTTTTGAGTGAAACTGGACAAATTTTAATATTCAATTACTCTCAAATGACCTTGATATTTTAGGGCACCTACGATACTCCGCTAGTAAAACTGATAGTTCCTATCTCTGCCAAACCGGCAATCTAGGAGGGACAATGGTGCTAGGATGGGGTGCAATGGGTTAGCGGGGTTATGGTATATTATTCCTAAATTTTACCAAGAGAGTAGTGTATATGCCTCGAGTCATTCTAAGGTTAAAATAGCCCACTTTAAAAGAACTGTTGTGTTTTTTTGAGCTATGCGTATTCTTTAAATTTTTGATACGGTTTGAGCACAATATGATATTCTATCATTTCATGTCAAAATAGAAGGGTACATAATGGTTTTACGATTTATCCCGTACATATACCGAACAATTTAAATAATCACACTTTGTGATAAATTTCGTTAATATCCGTCATGGATCGTGTCACCCCTAGCGCAAATACAATCCTCAAGTCTTGTGTTATGGAGTGCTTTATTAAGGCCCCGTTTGACAACAAAGTTAGAGGATAACGTTAGCATTTTTAAAAGGTTAATTGACCTGCCGATAGCATTTAGTGTTAGAATTTTCAGAATTTATACCACATCGTTAAATTTTTATCTAAAATGCTAACACTAATCGAATATGATGTTCTTAAACAAGACCTAAATTACTCCATTAGACGTAGGACTACTTGCAATTTTTAAAAGCAAGACTTCTTTATTCATTCGGATTTTGTTCACGGAGTGATGCTTATATGGTCCAAAGTTCATATTTTAAATATGGGTCATCTAATACTTTTCACAGGTTTAAATATAGATATTCGGTGGGGTTCTAGTGACACCGGAGAACGGTGCCACTAGCGGTGCCACTGGGTTTTTGAGGCACCTCCGGTGGTCCGTTCGTAAAATTGACGGTTCCTACCCCCTAACCCACTCCCTAAATCCCCCACCCTACTCTGTTCGTAAAATTGCATAATAGTCACACATTATGTGGGGGGCTTACGGCGGGGTTGGGGTGGGGGTGCAGGGGTGGAAGTAGGGTGGGGGGTTTAGGGGACGGGTTAGGGAGGTAAGAACCGTCAATTTTACGAACGAAACATCAGAGGTGCCCCAAAATTCCAGTGGCACCGGAGTGACACTGTTCTTCGGTGTCACTAGAATCAGACCAATAGATATTTTCTGTTTTACAAAAGGTCCATTTCTTTCATTATACGAATGAACTAAAATCCATAAAATAAACACGGACCTTAGGTTCACGGGAAAAAATTTTCTTCTTTCTTTTTCCATCTTTTTCCATAACACTAGATGGGGAGAAAGATGCAGAACATTTGTTATAGCATGTCGTTTTTAATGATTTTGATATAATACCCGGGAATAGTAGCGATTAATTTTAAACACATTCAACTAAAAGCTCAAACTTGTAGTTCGGGCATATAAAATATTTTTATATTCTAACAATTTTAAATAAATAGTCTAGACTATAAAGTTTATTTTTTTTTGAGTTTTCACTAACTTTTAATTAAATTAAATACTCCCTAATAAAAAATAATACTCGTCAAACTCGTAAACTTAAACCATAAACCTCAATTATCGGGTACTGGAGTGTGATTTTTGGCCTGACATTATTCATTATTGGGAGTATATATTTTTTTGAAATAAGATAATGTAAATTAATCCAATTGAAAGTTACAAGAAGATCAAATCTAATCTGGCTACGGGCATGCACGGACCAAGTTTTTTTAAACATACTCCTCCATCCCTAAGGTTGTGTTTGGTAGGGGATAAAGTATTTTGTTTGAAAATATTTTCCAAAGAAAAATAATTCTAAAGAAAATTATCATTCAATCATATAATTTATTGTTTGGTAAGAAAATATTTTCCTTCTACTAATGTCACTAAACACATGAAAATAGAATCAAAATTTTCTTGAAAAATATTTTACGCTCAACCAAAACTTACACTTTACATTATTTATTTGAAAGAAAAATTTGTCTTTGTTTTTACTTCTGATGGGTGTAATCCACCCAGGACCGGTCAAAGGAAGTACCCAAATGTTTGACCGGTCGAGTTGCATTTCTTGGAAGGGAGACCTCAATCGCCAAAGAAAGGGTGCCTGGTCGGCCGGAGTTTTGACCGGTGCACTTCAGATAGTGTACCAGTCAAACTACTTTATCACCCTGTTCATTCCCTATTTTCGGTAAACTTATCCCTCAGAAATTACCCGGTAGGGTTTCTAGGGTTGGAGAGCGTCGACAGAGAAGAATCCAAAGTGGTTTGGACTGTAGCGACCAAGATCAGTGGAGAATCGCTGGAGATGTTCGAACATTCCATCCAAGGCGCTACCTGACAAAGGAGTAATCTTCCTCGCAAGATGACAAGGCAGCTAAAAGACGAAGCCCATCACCTCCCACCATCCGAGAACGTGCCTCAACGTGGTTGCATGATACTCTGTCCCCCCTAACTTAGTATAAATACTACTGTAATTCTTAGAAGTAGGGATCCGAATTCATTCTCTCAAAACTCCCTTATAAAAGCTCTCGTGCATTCTCCTATATTTATAATATCAATTGGGCTACAAGTGTTTCCACCTACAGTTCTCCCGGTCATTTGTGTGTTTTTACCTATTTACTTTCCGAATCAAGTAAACGACTCTAGACCCGGTCTAGTATAGTTTACCCTGTTGGATAATTTACGCCATCAACTTTAATTGTTCATAGTTTTTTTCTGAGAGAAAGACTAAAGTATGACTAAAACATTGAAAATATACCAAAATAGGACTTCCATGTTTTTATTTTCGAAATAGGATTTATATTATCAAACACGGTCATATACATTACCAAAAAAGTATAGTAATGTGCACATGTACACTGCCACATTATCACAGTGCAAACTCATATTACCACAGTGCAAAGTTATATTTCGAAAAAAAAAACATGAAAGTTCTATTTTGATACTTTTCTCTATGTTTGAGTCCTATTTAAAGTGATTTCAATTTTTTTCCCACTTTTTATTTGTTCTCGTTTCCGCCGACATATATACAACTCCGCAATCTTCCAATTCAGATGCCAACAAAGTTTAACTTGTTCCTTCTAATGTAAAGAAAAAAAAAACATGTTGAAGTTTGTTCACAGGGAGCTTGAACCACTCAGCCCCGGCGGCCAAACGGAGGCGGCGCGTGAAGAAGAAGAAATGGGAGAGATAAGCTACCGCGATCTGAACAAGCGGATGTGGAAGGACTCGATGCGGATGCGGAAGCTCGGCGAGGAGCGGGAGAGCGCCGCCGAAATGAATGAAAAAATCGGCGGCGGCGGCGACGGCGAGGGGGAGGAGGATTCGAGGCGGTCGGAGTTGTCCCGGCGCAAGAAGATGGCGAGGTCCCAAGACGCGGTGCTCAAGCACATGGTCAAGATTATGAACTGCAAAGGACAAGGGTATGAATTAGTTCCTCCGTTCTAAAATTAATTTCCCAGTTTGAATTTTGTAGTCAAATTTTTTAAATTTTGACTGGAGTTAATTTTAGGACGGAGGGAGTACTACTCTTTTTTCAAAGTGAAATTTGCACTGAATAGGACTAAAACCTACCGGAGTAATTCATTTCTCAATGCAGGACTTAAATATTTTTATTCCCTAAATAGGACTTAACAATGACTAGTGAGAAGAATAATGTCTAAGTGATGCTGAACATTTAGTTGAATAATGACTAATAGATAATGACTAATGGTCCTACATTGGTAAATTAAAACACATGCTCCTATATTGAAAAAATCATTATATTTTTAGTTCTATTTAAGTAAATTACTCCGGGTACCTCTTTTCAAATTTTAATCGTAAAATTTAACACATCATTATGATATTTTTTGCACATAAAAAGTCAAAAATTACTGGTGATACCCCCAAAATCTAATTCCCCGTGCCCCAAAATCTCCTCAAATCATTTGAAAATTTATCAAAAGGAGATTTTTGTTTAGAAAAATGTTAGCACTATACTAAAGGTAAGGTGTACCCCAAATGTATACCACATCTCTAATACCACATATATTGCATGTAAAATTAAAAAGAAATAAATAAAAAAATAAAAAAATGAGTGCTAAAAAATGGATGGTGTACATTTGGGGTACACCTTTAGAGTACCCCTAACACCCCTTTTTTTCATTATCAACAACCTCGTGATCTTCTTCTTCCATCCTCCTCCTTCAATTATCCTCCTCCTCTTCCTTCTTCCGATCCAGACCCCCGTCCTCTTCTCTTTTTTCTTCTATTATTATTACTATTATTATTATTATTATTATTATTATTATTATTATTATTACTCCCTCCGTTCCATAAAACTCTTTCTCTTTCGTTTTTTCCAATTCCCAAAAACACTTTCACTTTCTATTAAAAACCCACTTATACCTCTACTTTTTCATGTCTTACCTATCACATCATACTTTTTCACTAATAACTAAATTATCACATCTTACTTTTACTCATCACATCAGGGCAAAATTGGAAAGTCAACCAAAATACACTTTCCTTATTTTGATCCAAAGTCAAAATAGGAAGTGTTTAAAAGAACGGAGGGAGTATTATTATTATTATTATTATGAGAAAATTCCATAAATAGTCTTTTATAAAATTATGATTTTCATATTAGTCTTCTATTATTAAATATTACATCCATAATTTTTCTTTTATGGGTGCCTTTCCACAAATTTTTTTTGATCTTCTACAATTATGGTGTTAATTTAAAAGCTAAAAGTATAATTTGACTTCAACCTTATTTCCAGCTGTAGCATATTCTGACATTAGTTAAATGGATAACACAAAAATAATGACTATGATTGTAGGCTAGGATTCCGACAAAAGACCACATCTATAGACTGTGATTGTAGTAGAAAGCGACTGTAAATCACAAACGACACATTGGGAGCGGTCTTCGGATTGTGTATGACAAGAAAGATATATTATCATTATGAAATTACTTTTTTAGCCCTCAAATTAACATCATTACTATAGAAGATCAAAAAAGGACTATTTGTGGAAATATACACACATAAAAGGACTACCGGAGTAATATTTGATAATAGAGGATTAAATAGAGAAACCCCACTTTCATAAAAGAGCAATTATGGAATTTACTCTATTATTATCATTATTATTATTAAAACTAATTAGTAGTTTTACTACTTTAATTTTAAAAAAACACTAATGCCCCAGTGTCATTTGATTTAAACCAATTATGAAATTTAGTATTTTTTTTTTACTTTTTAAAAATACTCCCTTCGTTCCACAAAATCCTTCCGGTTTTGACTTTGGGGAAAAAAAAAAGAAAAGTGTAATTTTGGTTGACTTTCCAATTTTGTAAAAGTAAGATGTGATAGTTTGGTTATTAGTGATAAAGTATGATGTGATAAGTAGGATATGCAAAAGTATGGGTAAAAGTGGTTTTTTAAATAGAAAGTGGAAGTGTTTTGTAGAAAGCAAAAAAAATAAAAGATGAAGGGTTTTGTAGAACGGAGACTAATTAGCTATATCCTGACACATTAGAATATTGTAAACGCGAGTTCCCTGCCTTGTACAAATGTCCTTTGATTTAAACCAACTAAAGAAGGTAACACTTCCTTCAGTCTCAAACAAATCCGCTTTGAAATGACTTTGTGTATGTTGTATTACAACAAGCTATATATAGGCTTCTTTAAGTTGCTGGTGGTTAAAACTTTACGAATCTCTTCTTTCTGTACCCTCCAATGTCTGCCCATTTTCATAGCCTCTTATGATTGACACAGGTTCGTTTACGGCATCGTTCCAGAAAAGGGGAAATCGGTGACAGGATCGTCCGATAGCCTGAGAAAATGGTGGAAGGAGAAGGTCATCTTCGAGAAGAACGCTCTGGCAGCCATAGTCGAATTCTTCCCAAAACTCCTAGAAGAGACACCGCCAATAACCAACTCCAATAACTTCAACGGTGACAACCCAGCATGTAGCATCTTGTTCCTCCTCCCGGACTTACAAGATGCTACATTGGGCTCGCTGTTGTCTGCTTTGATGCAGCATTGTGATCCACCACAACGGTGCTTCCCATTGGATAAGGGGTTGCCGCCCCCGTGGTGGCCAACGGGGACAGAGCTCTGGTGGGGCGATCAAGGGGTGGTGTCATTGGAGCAGGGCCCGCCGCCATACAAGAAGCCACACGATTTGAAGAAAGCTTGGAAAGTCACCGTGTTGGCCGGGATCATCAAACACATGTCCCCTGATTTAGACCGGATGAGAGATTTGGTCAAGCATTCAAAGTCGTTACAGAACAAGATGTCCTCCAAGGAATCCGGGACGTGGTCTAAGGTCGTCAATCGCGAAGAAGACATCCTTAAACTCGTGACGCAAAAAACACAAAACATTTTGCTCTGCGACAAGCAAGGCGAGGAAGAGAAAACGACCAAATGTAATCAACATCAGGGTTCGAAGGAGAAGAGGAAATGTGAGTTTGAACGTGAAGCGTCCACGGAGATTGCATTGTACGAATGCCCGAACTTGCGATGTCCAAAGAGTCGTTTAGGGTTTGGATTTCTTGACAAAAATTCTCGAACCGAACACGAAAAGATCTGTTCATTTTGCGATGATAGAGGTGAGTACCCTCAATGGATAGAGGAAGATATACAGAGAAGCTTGGAGGAGTATGATTCACACTTTGACAATGGAGGATTTGAGAATTATGGGAGACAAGAATTAAGGTATGATCCAATGATGTATGTGGACGTGAATATGGACCAAATTCCAGCGCAGGATGAGCAAGTTTCGAGTGAGGAAGTTTTTAATTCTCTTTCAACATCTGTTTGGGATTTAGCATACGATGACCTTTATCAAGGTGACTAAGTAACAAATCAAACAAGCTAATTATATTTAGGGGCCGGTTCCCATGACATTGATTCATGGGATGATCCGGGGATACTTCGATGCTCCATTCGTAAAATTGGCAGTTCCTCCCTCTCCTAACCCCCGGTAACCCCGAACCTAACACACCCTCGCCCCCTTCAATTGCACCCCCGAAGTTAATTTTGACTTTGGAGTTTAAATTTGACTCCAAGTCAAAATTAACTTGGGGGTATTCGGTTCTGGTCAGGGTGGGGATTAGAAGGGGTAGGAACTGTCAATTTTACAAACGGGGCACCGGGGCATCCTCGGGTCGTCCGATGACATCGATTCTCGGAACTAAGGAGCTGAGTTATATTTATACGGAGTACTTAAATGAGAACATGATATTTTAATTTAATTTCAAGACGAATCAAATCAAATGATACAGAGTATTAAATTTGCAATATTGTTCAATTTTTTTATTCTTTTCGAGTTCTACGGTCAAAATTCTTTAATTTCGATCTCAAAAGGTCAAATACGAATACTACATTGTGTCACAGGGAGTAATTATATTGTTTCTTGCTCTCTCACTCTACAAAGCTTCTTCTATATCCAATTGACCATCACTGCTATATAATCAAAGAATGCAATAAATATATACTCCCCCGCCGTCCCATGAAACATGGGATATTTTGTTTTTTGAAGAGATTTAAGGGAGTGTAATTTGGTATTGAATTTCCAAAAATGTTCTTTGATGTGATGAGTAAAAGTATGATTTGATGGGTGGATTATTAGTAAAAAGGTATGATGTGATAGGTAGAGTATGAAAAAGTAAGGGGTAAAAGTGACTTTTTAATAGAAATAAGAAGTGTTTTAAAGGACAGATGAAAAAAGAAAGGAGAAAGGTTTTATGGGACGGAGGGAGTACTATATATATATATATGATACTCAATTGATGATAATAATACAAAGAAGGAAAATAAAATACATTATTATTATTGGTGTTAAAGGGGAGAGATTAGAAGTTATAATACAGAAGTTAAGCATCAATGGTGGTAGTGCCCCCTATTGTGGGCATGTCTTCATAATCCAAAGTGCATGATGATGAAGATGGTGGTGAGAAACCCTTGCAATTATAAGTTGATGATTTATTACAAAGCATTTCAACCTCCACTGTAAATACAGCACAAACTGGTCTGTGGTCTGAAAATCTTGATTCCCCCCTTATGTATGACACTTGTTCCATCCCATTTCCATGCCACAATATCCTGTCACACCTGTACATACACATCCTCTTCCCATAAGGGGGCAATAAACACACACACATCGACACTGGTTTCTAGAGTCAACGGATAACACTCGTTCATTTAAAGCTCTTCTGGTGCTCTGTTTGCTGAATTGATGGTTTCTACGCGTCGTATGTGTGTGTGTGTGTCGTTTTAGTTTTAAAAAAAATCGACCATAATTGGGTCAAGTAAATAATCTTATGGAAGATCGAGGTGACTAGCTAACCAGGCAGGGGTTCGTCGTTTCTTCTTTGATTTGATAGTCTCTCCCGCGTACGAGTCGGAATTAAGAGTGTATTTGTACGTGGGAGCAAACAATATCTTTCCTTCCTTCCAACCACTAAACACTCTCCCTGCCTTTCTCTCCATATTCAACTGCATTTTGAAATAATGAAGCTCTTGTTAATCAAGAACTAATTAACCCATTGAATACGAGTTAATTAAGTTCATAGAATAAAGGCCATGCAATTCAAAAGGGAATTAATAAGTATAAAAAATTATGAATATAAAGACCTGATCTTTCTCTAGTAAAAACTCCCAATCATTGTCTTCTAGCAGCAACTTTGTCTCCTCGTAGCTAAGTGAAATGCGGTAATTCAAGTCCCCCATCCATATTATACGGCTGATTATTAATATACATGTGTGTGATTATGTAAGTGAAACAAAGAAAAATGGATCTTTTGACACACGAAATGAGCGTCATATTATGACATCAAGTCGAATTGAAGTGGTTCTTATCCCACTAACCTAAATCCTCACCTTTCTCAACCCCTGAAATATCTAAAATGCTACAAAAGGAACAAAATTACAACGTCGACTGTTGTCGGTTTATTAGTTGCCAAGGTGGTAGGAACCACTTCAATTCGACTCCAACAAAGCATCATAAAGCTCCAAGGTTGCCTTATACTCCCTCCGTCACACAAAACTTTTCACCTTTCTTTTTTTATCTGTCCAATTTTTTTTCTCATTTTCATTAAATTAACAAGTCACTTTTGCTCTTATTAATTCTTAACCTACCTATCATATCACACTTTTCACTACTAATCTGCCTATCGCATCTACTTTTACCTATCACATCCAAGGGCATTTTTGGAAAGTCAACACCAAAATATACCCTTAAATCCCTTAAAAATCAAAACAGGAATTGCTTTGTGGGACGGAGGGAGTATATGCCACACAAAACAAATGTCAAAACAATTATGGGGATGATGTACCTCCAAATGGAGAAATAAAAGAAAATTCTTACAAAGGATAACTTATCTTAAAGTTCTTACTCCCTCTGTTCACCAAACCGGCTCCTATTTGACTAATGGAAGAAATAAATAGTGTATATTTATTGTTTACTTTTCAATTTTATCCTTGATATGATAGATAAAAATAAGATGCAATGAGTAGATTATTAGTACTCCTAAAAAAATTTTAATATGAAAGGTAGGGTAAGAATTAGTAGGACAAAAGTGATTTTTTAATAGAAAATGAAAGTATTTTGGTAAAAAAGGAAAAAATGAAAAGGAAAGTATTTTCGAAAACAAGGAGATTACATAGGATCTCTTATCTTAAAATTCTTACAATGTAGTAATTCTTAAAAATTAATAGCATAAGTAGAGCTTAGAGTGTAAAATGACTTAGTAACTTGAGTAAAAAGTAACTCTCTGTGTCTCTCTCTCTCTCTACATAACCATATATTCATTATGGACATTTTACATACATTAAGAATTAAATGAATGTGGACACAACGTATGTCCACATTCATTCAATTTTTATGTATATAAAAAGTTATACAGAGTGATATATGAAATGTGAGTAAAGATGATGGACAACTTACTCATGATCAATGATTTTTTCTGGGAAAGAGTGATATGCAGGATTCTTGCAAATTTGGGGAAATTGAGAGCTCTTTAGAATCTCTGCAACATCTGCGTTTCTTCTTAGCTCATCCCCTCCTTTCTCCCCAGAAGACAAATGACAACACACAAAGCAAAAACTTGTTTCGTGCACAGACATACTTATTGATATGCAACCCTGCAATTAATTAATTAAATCAATGCAATTAATTAATCATGTGAAAAAAAGAAAGTAATTGTCCTAATAATTTGTGTAATTGTCATTTATTAATATGCCTTGAATATGTATTGTGAGCCTAGCCTGTTTTTGTGTGCCTATTTATATAGTGGTAGACTGGTAGGACACTATTAAGAATTCTGTACTCTGGAACCTCTGTCATAATAGAATCTGTCTCCGTTCTTGCCTGGGACGTAGCCAACACAACTTTGGTGAACGACGTTAAATCTGTGTGCGTTTACGTTTTCTGTTTACTTTGATTACTCAGCTACCCTATTCCGTAATAACATCGTTTGTCACAAAAATAGAGTTTGAAGTATTAACCTTGTTGCCTAGACATCCCATGATTCCTGTCCCAACACATGAGATTCTGAGATGGGCGATATGGGGAACCAATTCTCTACGTGCCCAGACGGACAAAAATATCCCGACCATCTGCTTGCTGGCAATGAGGTTGTAGTCCAAGTTAGCTGATGGCGTGTGATCAGATATCCGTGCATGGACGACAGAAAAATCTCTGTCGTCCATGCTGGCAGCACGACGACCACCAGAGAAACTCTGGGGTGACAGCTCTGGCATCGTGCTTAGCGTTCGGAGGCGTGTGGGAGAGTCGCATTGACAGTTGCATGACTTGAGGAGAGCGTTGTTGGCCCGGAGGTCACGGGATAGGACTTTAAGGGATGGTTTGTGGAAGAAATTGGACCTTATTGATGAAGAAGAGTCCTTTGCATGGGGCTTTGTGGTGGGACCCGAGTGGTATGCCTTGTTCAGTGCTTTGCTTATGAACCCTATCCATCTGGCTGCTGGTTCATTGTCTTCAATCACTAGCACATTTCCTGCGTTCAGTGGAACTATTTCCTGAAATCTGTAACAAACCATATTTTAAAAAAAATGCAATTTTGACTCTATATATATATATATATATATATATATATATATATATATATATATTCCCCAGTGCTAAACATTGGCTTTTAATAATTTTCTTTGTAATTTTGAATATTTAAAAATGCAAATTTGAAAATCTACCCTTCAAAAAGTGTTTTGTTAAAAACGTAAAAATGAGGGGTTTTCAAGAATGGAGGGAGTGTTTAAACTATAATCAGTATACTTTTTATTAACAACATTTTGTCAAATTTTAAAAACTTTGAGTAAGAAAGAGAAGATCATTTTGAGATCAAGGGAAGTGTCACTTTATATAGTTAATGCAAAATGATTTAAAATGAAATAATACATACTACATACCCTAAGACATATATGTCCTGAGGAGAATCCTCCACTTGCAAGAAATCTTCAAGGTTGAGTCCATGATTAGGAGTCTTTCCACCCACATTCCATGTTGAAACAAAAACCCTATACTTTCCATTGTTAAATGTATGTGTGATGGTACTGGATTCACTCCCACACTCGTTAATTTAGAGCTCAGCCAGTACTTAGTTCATAAAATAGATGGTTCCTACCCCACTCCCTAAACCCCCAACGCATCTCCAGCCCAGCCCGACCCCTGCCCCCCATACTAGATCCCCTTTTATCCCTCCAAATGTGGGCTATTATGCATTGCATGATAGCCACATATTTGGAGATGGTAAATGAGGTGGGTCTAGGGTGGGGCGTAGGGATGTGGTAGGGGGGTTTAGGAGAATGTAAGAAGCATCAATTTTTAATTTAGAGTGTTGGATTAGCTGCATATGAGCGAGTGTAATCTGTTGATACTGAATTACTGGAATCCAGTGCCAACAGAACTTGCTGCTTATAAAAACTAATTTGGAAGGACCTAGAGGGACGGTAACTTATAATAACTTAAATGCACTCTATAAGTAAATTATTTATTTCATTTCAAAATAAATTTTCACATCAAGAAAGTAAAAAATGAAAAATCTTAATAAGAGGGAGAGAATTTTTTTTATGAT